GGAAAGAGGTATCGTTAAACAAAAAACGAGCAACTTTCTGAACATATGATCATATTCATGTAATAAAAACCACATATAGGTACACATATATATGTAATAATTATGTGTATGCAACTGTAAAAGTAAAATTTGCAAGGAAATACATGAATCAACAGTGGCTCTCTGTTAGAACAGAGAAATGAAGAAAGATTAGCAGACTGTGAAGAGGGAATTTTGCTTCTTAGTTTAAGCAGGAGGGGCACACCAGAAAGAACACTTTGGATGCTGTGTGGAGAATAAATTAAGAGTGAGTGTGACTGAAAGATTGGGTAGGAGACCACTGTAACAATCCAGGTAAAAGACAAAGAGAACTTGGACTAAAGCAGTGGCACTGGGGTAAAGAGGAGGGAAACCTCATCGGGGGTACGACTGATTAGTTGTTCAAGGAGAAGATGAAGATAGTCTAGGATGACTCCTGGCTCCTGTTTTGGAAGTCCAAGGAGATGGCGAGAAGAGCAGAAAACAAACAAACAAACAAACAAAAAACAATACAGGTTGAGGCAAGATGAATATTATGTTTGTGTATTAAGTTTGAAGTATCAGAGAGACATACAAATTTAGCCACTAAGTATATAGGCCTAAAGTTAAGGATACAAATGCAATTGACCAGGCTAGAATGGCAGACGTTTGGCACAAGACTGCCACTCCCCACTCCTGCTTCCAGGGCATACATGGCTAATAGACCACTCTTTTCCTGCTAAATCTAGGCACAGCTCCAAGTACCTTGGGATGAAACCCACTTGCCATCCCTGGCCTAGGGTATATATGAAGAAGAAAAAAGCCGGTAACAGAACCATAGGGGAGCTTCAATATTGAAGGGCATTCAGAATAGGAGGATGCAATAGTAAATAAGAGGGAAAGGAACCATAGGAAAGGAAAAAGATATATGCAGATGTACAAAGCAGACAGTTACAGTCTTGCCTCTTTACATGACTGGCACAGCCCTATCTGAAAAACTCCTTTTCCTGGATGCAAGAAGTATGGTCATATATAATTTATCATCTAAAATGGAACACATTTAAGAGTAGAAGGGGCACTATTAATAATCATATCATTAGCATAAGCATAAAGGTACAGAGAGGAACCCCAGCATTTGACCAACACACAGAAATAGTGTGAAATGGCGAGGCTGACTATAACATAGAAGGACTTGAGGCTCATCTGGCCATTCTAATAATCGTGCACTGTCATACTCCATCCTCCTTCCAACTCATCCAAATGTTACTCATCTTACTGGCTCAAGACAATTGCTAGTGAGCAACATGAACAATTCAGACCCACAGCAATGTCTCCAGGCTGAACTCCTACTTCAGAGACTGAGAGTTCTACTCGGAACGACAAACTGCATTTTTATTGGTAAACTCAAAATAACAATGTTCCTCAAATTGAATGCACCTGCCATAGTAGGACCTGCTCACTGCTCAAGAAGACCCCATATAAATCATCACGGGCACTGATTCTCCCCTCTGATCACTATCTTCTGTTCTCCTACTTCCTCTGCTTTCTCCTAGTCAATGCATCCTTTTCTAGCCTCATTAACTCTATTATCAGGAGCCCTTATTTCTTGCTACAGCTTCTTCCCCACCTCATTATAACCATTCACCATCAGCAAGCATTTACTGAGGACTTACTATGTGTCAGGAATTCTGCTACAGGATGAAGATACAAAAATGACACATAGGAATTGAGTTTAAGGAAGTCAAAGTCTAATAAAGACAAACATAAAGAAATCACTGTAGTACAATATGATTGGGGCTATAATATAGCTACATATACATTAAAGGGGTGGCAAAGGATGAAAAGAACTTTCTGAAAGCGTCAGGAACAGTTTCCTAGAATAAAGAGTAGAATTATATGAGCTGGATATGGAAGCAAAAGGAAGAATATGGCTAAAGATAAGAATAAAGAAACAGTCCAGAAGGAAGTCTGTGTACAGTCACGGTGACATGAAACAGGAAAATGCCTCAGGGAGCTGCAAGTTAACTCAGAAGGGCCAGAGTGCCAACCACAGGAGAAAGTAGGCCACAGTGAGCTAGAAGAGTAGGCAGAGGCCAGGTAGGCAGGCCATCCATGCCATGTAAGAGTTGAAGTGGAGAGTCGCTAAATTCTTTTAGGGAAATGGGCATTGGGTTTGTATTTGTGCTATACAAAGATCTCTTGAATAGCAGGACTGAAGATGGGTGAAAATGAAAATAGAGGTGGAAAGAATAATTAAAGGTACTTGTTTACATAAGAGATGCTGAGGTTATTATGCCTTAAGGTGGTGATAAAAAGGGTGATGAGGGGGCAGATTCTAGATACGTTAGGGAGATGAAATCAAAGAGGAGTGAATATAGGATATTAAATCAGATATTACAAATGAGTCTTGAAAGACTCAAAATTCTGGTCTGAGGAACTTCGTGGCCTGCCTAGTGTTGAGAGAGAGCAAAAGAAAGTACAGGTTTGAAGACCGAGGATACAAAGTTTGGTTACCTCAGTCTGAGGTGCATGTGAGGGATAGTCTTGTGATAAAACCTAGCTAAAGTCCTGCACTTATGTAATTCTGAAGCTAAGCAAAGTGATCACGATTATATCTACAATTTTAGAACTATTCAGCAATAAAAACTAAGGGGTGACTGCCTAGGGAGAATACATACAGTGGGATGAAAAGAAAGTATAAGACAGAATCCTTGAGATCAATGATACTTAATGGTTCAGGGGAAAAAAAACTAGAGTGAGTAATAGAGACTAAGAAGCAAGGAGCAGAGAAGTAGGAGGAGGAAAAGCAAAGATGGTATCATGGAATGTAAATTAGCGAGAGTTTCAGAGAAAGAAGTGGTGAGATGTACAGCCTTACCTCTGACTCTTCCTGTAGCCGCAGACAATTATCCAGGAATAGAAGCGATCGGTCAACAGACTTTCTGGCTCTTTTTAGGGAATTTGTTTCTGCACAAGATGCTTCGCCATCTGAGAGGCACTGAAACCAGTCTGGCTGAAGGGCCTGCTGAATTGCCATAAACTTGGAAACAGTCATTTCCACTCGTCCTCCAACACCCCACACAGACACAGACTACCACGGAACAAGATGATGAAGAATTAGCAATAGTGAAATGCAAATAAAAAGAAAATCAAAAATGGCAAGGCAATTCTGAATTTAATTCTTCTCTACAACTGGAGAGATGATAGCAATTCAATATCCTAGACATGGTGAGTAAAAAGTTTCCTATACTATACTTCAAATTCTCTAAGAACTTTATAGCTCACAGAGAACCCTTCAGTGGCCATACAAGCTAACTTCTGAGCCTGCCCCTAAGAATTCTTCGATATACTTTTCTAGAAGCCTACTCTTCCATTTTCCTTCACCTTACCCAACCCATGCTGTTCCTAAATATACCGCACACTTTGATTCTTCTATGATCACATTGTTCCTTTTGACTGAAATGCCCTTCCTCTACTTCTTTGCCTATTAAAATACTATGCACCCTTCAAGGTTCTAGTTCAGCTATCATCTACTCTAATGTGTTCCCCAGACTTTTCCAGGTGTAATCAATCACTCATGCATCTAAGTTCTTTCAGAATTTGTACCTATTTCTTTCATAGAAAAAACAGCCCTTATCACACCATTGTACATTTGTCTGACTAGAGTATACCAATTCATGTTTGAGCCCCGAAAACACAGTCTAAGGCCTCACACATTATAAGTATTTAGCAAGTGAGTTAGATACAGAATTATGTGCTAAGATATAAATCCCATAGTACAAGAATCTCTACATGTCCCTTTGGGTAGTCCTCTTACAGCATTTCTCTTAGAAGAGATTGACAAGGACATAGATGGGGAAGCCACATACAGTCTTTTTATTTTGGCATAAGAACACTGTTTAAGGGAATCCTCTCTCCCTTATAAATGGGGTAGATAACTGACATCAAAATATTTTCTTTCGAATTCAAATTACAAAATAAAAAGAAGTTTAAAGCAGAAGAGTAATTTAAAATAGTAATCTTAGATAAGATTAATAGATATTGTTGAAATCAATATAATGGGTGCAAGAAAAGTAATTGCTGAAGTCTGGCTAGAATGCTGTCCTCAGGGACAATGCAATGAGGCCACGTCTCAGGTAAAAACTTTTAATGAAGTCTTTTTGATATTGTTCTTCACTAAAACTTTCTGGCTATGAACCCAGCTTTTAAATCCTGTTCTAAAAGCAAGCAGTATTTCACTCAGGTTCTACTATATATAGCTATACATGTGATAACACTCATCAGCAACTTTCCCCACTCTACCTGAGGTTGTTAAAACTGCAAATAAAGCATGGCATCAAAAGACTATTATCTACCATCATAGCAATTTCTTTTTTAGGAATGTACTTGACCCTTTTTTAGCCCCCAATTTTTTTGCAGTAGTGAAAAAGCTGAGGATACATTCCTTATCTTAATCCCATCCTTGGGCAATCCTACTCTTAATTCCTATAAACTATCAACCCGCTATATTCATAGAAATAAAGAAAAGGCATAAAGGGGTCAGGAATGGGCCAGCATCCCAGCCAGTGAAATCCTAGCCTCCGAGGGATACAGTAGGCTGACTTCCTGGGACAAAGTTGCAGCCGTGGAGGTCCTTCTGAGAACACACCTTGTTTGTTACATAACCAGCTGGGCAGGGGCTGACTGGATCATGCAGAGAGCAGTACAAGAGTGATTCTGGCATGCCTGTATAAACACAAAAAAGAACCCTTGAAAGTACATCAACAATTACCCTGTGTTGTAATTGAGAGCAGCTTCATGGTGTATACTGCAGTATAAAGCAACACTAAACTTAGAATTATAGGAGGCCTGTCAGCATAAAAGAAAAGACTACTTTGAAACCTACTAATTTAAAAGAAAAATTAAATGGAAAGGTTCATTTCTAATGACAGTAAGTTGCTACAAAGGAATGGTTTTTCTTAAAGTATAAGACACAACGAAAGTGTTTAATGACATGTTGACCCTACTCAATTCGAAGAATTTAGTATCAAGTATGTTCATTCTAGGTACTATCCAAGGGCAACTAGCTCCTTGACAGATGAAATGATATGGTCAAAAGGTAATCTCATTAATAATAAAGCCATCCCATATTATGGGTCTCTAGGGGCAGAATTATATGGAAGCTTTAGGATACTGCAAATGGATCTCATTTTCAGTAAGATTCATTAACTTAAGATGACAGTTTCTTAGATTCTTTAGTCAAAAAAACAGTCATTGAAAAAAGTCCAAAAAAATGTTAAGTAAACCATATGTACTTAAATTTCATACTTTATAACAAAAAAATTTCATAAGAAAAAATTAGGATTTCACTGAAAAAGACCTAAAAAATTAAAGCAAATTAAAAAAAATCTCTGCAGTTCTCCAATTATTTACCACAATTTCAATTATAACAATTATCTGTAAAAAATTTATATTAGCTATTTTCACTAAATTACATGCTTGTATACTTTAAAGCGGGTTATTCAAACTGGCTTCATATTGAGAAAAACAATATTACATAAAATCCCCTACTGAAATATAGGGCGTTGTTACAACTAAGTCATCAAGCAGCTTCCCTCAGAATTAGAGAACTGAGTAACCAACGGAAACAGGATTTTCATTCACTTAAGTGAGTCTTAGATATCGGGGAAAAGCTTCAGGAGAAGGCGATCTACAGAAAAATTGGTTCTCTAGCTGTCATTGATAGGCTTTTCTTACCAAATAAATGGACATAGACTTCTGCATTTAAAATCCTATTTCTGAAACAAAAGATAATATTAACATATCAGAATATAGCTGTATATAAACTGTACATCTTCTGCCTTACGTTTTAGGCTCAAATATGACAAGACTGTGCTGGATCTTAGGCATGTCTCATGCATTGTCTCATCTCTGGTCTTTGTTCTATGACTGGAGTGTCTGCCCACACTCGTCTACCACCACCACTACTGCATCCACATCCTGACCTAACTCCTTCTTTTCCTTGACCCACCTAAAATGTCCCCCTCATCTTCTCTCTCTAGAATCCTTTCTTTATCCTGACTTCCTTCCACATGTATCCTACAGCAGGTTAGGTGCTCATCCTTAGGCTCTCGTGATACAGGTACACAGCCCTAATTCTGCAAATGCAGTTACCATACTCTACTAGAATTACCTGTTCATCTTTATCCCAACTAGGCTCTGAGTTCCATGAGAGCAGCAACTGTTTCCTATTCATCTTTGAATCCCCAATGCCTGGTTCTTAGATGCTTGATAAATGCTTATTTTGTTGATAATAAATAAAAGCATTTACATATGATAAATGCTTAAATTAATAAGTAAATGTATGAATGAAAGATCAGAGAATAAAAAGCACCTACAAACTCCAAGTTAACATCCCAAGGCACGCACAAATAACTTAATTGTTACCTATAAACTTTCCAACTCCTTCCTTATATTCTGCCAAGACTTCATAATGTTCTGCCCTATAAGGAAAACAGAAACATACATAATAATGAATCATTCTACGGATACTCTATACAACAACTGAAGCCCTCTTCTCCTCACCCACACAAGCTACATTCACAGTAAATGTAGTCTTGAACAATAAGTACACCACTATTCAAGACTGCCAATTCACTAGGCTGGGTTCATTAACCAGTGTAAAGATCTTCAATTTGCAAGTGGTTTTCTGAGAAAAGAAACTGGCAATGATCAACTACTTCAGAATATCTAGATTTTCTTCTTCTTCTTGCCTCTTTAAAATCACTGTTATTAATGAAATACTGCAATCATTTCATCATACATAGGTTCTTCAGTTACAGATAAAGTCAGTATGTGCATTACACAAAATGATCTAACTTTATTAGTTCTGCTTCCATAAGTAGTACTAGCAAGTAGATGTGCAGAGACACAGAAAATTTTTAGGCTGGTGCATGAAGACAGACCCTAGGCTCTAAATTTAGCTCTCATAGAGCATTTCCTGTCATGTAGCCCTGGGAGCAGTGGCAATGAGGGCAGTATGGGACCTTGCATTCAGAAGAAAAGTGAAGCAAATCTGACATGTAGGTCTGGCCCATGGCTTCCAGATTAGGGCCAGATGACGTGTAATACTTGGTATATTTCTTCTGATTTTATTCTAAAAAATCTATAAATTTTGTTCATATAAGCATTAAAAAAGTATTTCGCTTTACTGCACCTTAATAAGGTAACTAAGCTGTTGCCAGAGTTGACATCTGAATGGCTGGGTCTAATACTTACAGTGATGACAGTGTAAGCTGAGCCATGGCAGGAACCCCGTGGATACAATGCAGTGTGTGATGAGTTAGGTGTGGTGCAGAGCCAGTCTTGGTATATAGAAGGCAGCCTGGAATGTCCATGGTGTGGTCCCCTGTTTTGCTTAGGTTTTTTATTTTTCCTAGGCGACAGCCATTAACTACCTTGGTAAGACTCAGCTTCATCCTGAAGGATTCCTCTAGGTCCTGATGAGAAAAGAACATTAAGGTCAGAAGGAGTTCCATGACGTCTAAAGACAAAAAACATACAAAAAAATAAATGATAGCATGTTTATTACTACTTCTGGTCTAGGACATCTTTACCTTTCAGGAATAGGGAGATAGAAAAAGACACAAAGAAAATGAGATACCTCCCCCAAAGTCCCAGAGCAACATGATGACATTGATCACATTTAAACTCGGTCATGGAATTCTTGTCTGATCTAATAAAAATTAAACAAATGGAAGGAAAGAAATAAAGACTAATTATGGGCAGAGCACTATGAAAGCCAAGGCTCACTCTAAGCCTTGAAATGTGTACAAAGAAAGATCACACTGCTTAGGAAATACTGATTATTAATTTGATCTATTTTTTTTCTTTCTCTAATTTGAGAGAATACTAGGCAACATAGCAATTTCTTCTAATATGAACTTAAATTAAAAAAACAGGCTCCAAAACAGCATTCTGGTGTTTATTAAAATATATAGAAGAATGTACATCAACAAATAAACAGATTATCTCTGAGAGGTGAGATTATTTTCCAATCTGTTCTTATTTGGTGTCCAAATAGATGTGATAAACTGTGTGTAGCGTACATGTAATTCACAAGCAATTTAGCATTACTTTTATAATTGGGAAGAAAAAAAATTTGACAAAAGAAAAAACCTAAGATATACTTCTAACTTCCAAAGATACACAGGACAAAAAAATCAGACAACATTATCAATTACTTTGTTGGATGCTTTTAATTATTATTCAGTGAAACAAATCCTAAGCTCCACTTCTTAAAATGCATGACAAAAGTTGGTAACTGGGCATGGCAGATCATTTGCAAAAAGTCACTGGATACACCAGCATTTTAAAAATACCAGCATTTCTACAGCAGGTACCATACCCCCTGGAATTCTTGCCAATGGGGCTAGGCCAAGTTTTATTAGTAGATAAGTTATTACAGCTATCTAGAAGCTCCAATCTCAGATCCTGTTCTCGTAAGCATTATACTATACCACTCTGAAAGTCAACCATTGTTTAAGATGCTATCAAACAAATAAACATTATCTATCATTAGTTAACAAATATTCAGAAATATGAATATTACTTTTTTTAGAGTCACAAGTTTTTATATTCAAAGAAAATAGTCAATACAGTCATTGGAATTTTAGAAATAACTTTCTGTAATGGTCCAATAAGAGATTTCATGCTAAACATGAATTATAAAAATAATATGTGTCTGAGGAAAGCCTGGTCAATTTTCTGTGACTCTAACTTCATTATTTTAAGTTATCACAAACACACACACATATAAATATCACTGAAACCCATAGGAATGGAGACTATTAAGAGAAAAAAGTTATATTTTAACAAAGAGTAATATAAAAGCTATTTTTTTAAAGCCCTGTTATTACACATTAAAACTGTTAAAAGAATAAAATTTATACCCCTCAAAATTATGCAAATATAATTACAGGTTAATAAAAGTATGCTCTAGAAAATACAACACAAGAAAAGAATCATTACTTTACACAATCATATTCCTTACTGATTTGCCAGATAATACACATAATCTTCTGATTTCAACTCACAAAAATATATTTTCAACTAAGAGGACTCTGAAGCCATTTGTAGAAAAGTTAAAGACTGCATTTTACAATCTAAGTAAGTTCCTAGGAATTGAAGCGGGGGAAGCACAAAGAGGAGAAATGCACTTTAAAGTTAACCAACGCCTATTATTCTGACTGAATATTGGAATCAACCAATTATAGAAGGATAGGTTTTTGGAACATAAATAAGAACAATGAAAATTTAACGGGCCAGGATTATTAAATATTGCAACAACTTAAGCACTTCCTACCCATACACATCTGGGAATGAAAGAAACTATATAGTCTGGAACTTTCAGAAAGGTCTAGAAGACAAGAATTTGTTGGTTCTTTCCCTTACTCCAATAACTGTCTCATCTGAGTGGTTTAAGTTTGGTAAAGCATTTAAATGTACACGCGTGAGTTGTATTTTAAATATTAAATTCATACACACTCTACAATGTTTGTCTATACACAGAGGAAAGTTGGAAGGACTTCTAAACAATATGGTGCACTGAGCTGACTCAGAAATACACAGAAAAATGATAGACTACAAAATTCTAAAAAAACAGTAACTGAAAATGAGGAGACTAGTAGGAGTATTCTAAAATCCTTACTCTGTTTGGGAGGAGGAGAGAGATAATGAATAATGTTAAACTTAAATTATGTGTGTTAAAAAAAAAAAACTTTTAAGTAACCATTAAAAGATTAATGATAGAATGCATAATTTCCAAACCTGTTGGGGAGGAAGAGAGGGATAAAGAAAAATTGATTAATACAATAAAGGGGAAGAAAGAGGAAAAGAGATGTAAAAGCACACCAAAAATAGAAAATACAAAATAAGATGGTAGAAGGCCAACTATGTTAGTAATACAATAAAAGTTAACAAATTAATTTCATCTATTTAAAGACAAAATGGCAACAGTAGCAACTAACATTTACTGGGCATTTACTATGTATCAAGTACTGTTCTTTACATATTAACTCCACTAATATGTATGACCATATATGCCTCATAGGACATGCTATCACTATGTGTATTTTACAGGTAAGGATACTGAGGCTAATAAAGTCACCATTTGAGAAGTGGCAGAGCCAGGAGTTAAATCACAGAAGGCTGGCTTTAGAGGCTGTACTCTAATTGACTGTTAGTCTATTATAAGTCCCATCTTGTCCACAGCACATGCATTGTTTACATATTAACTGCAATGTTGATATAATTTTATAGTCATATTTTCCATTTTGCTATAGTGTTATTATTTTTCTTGTTTTCTCTTATGTCCCTTCTCTGCCTTTACCCATCCTCCCAGCCTCTAAAAACTTTCTCTGTACTCATACATTTAAACATACTTGTGTACAGAAACAGGTGTTTTTCATTTTTTTAAAAAATGAAAAATACTATACTGTATGCACTTCTCTGCAATTTGCTTTTCTCTCTCAGTAATACACAATGAATATCCTTTCTTGAAGAGACACAGAGCTAAATTACTCTTTTAAAATAACTACTTCATGACGTTGCATAGTTAAAATGTTACCAATTTAATCAACCATCACGTTTCTGATGGACACTCAAGATATAGGACTGGTCCTAAGATCTCAGCAATAGTCTGAGGGCACGGCTTCCCTGATCTCATCTTCACCAATCTCAAGTCACTTTAGTTTATGCTTTCTGGCAGAGCTCTATACATACATTGATTTTTAACCGTCACCACACTCCAACGATTGAGGCACAACTGCCCCCCCATTGTGCCGATGAGTTAAATCGAGGGTTCGAGAGTTATTAAACAAGATGAGGTAATACAGCTACAAAGTAGCTGGGTCCAAAGCTCTCGCTCTAAATCTCTACCCTGTCTATGAACCCCAATGTCCTAGAACGGACTGTTCACGGAAACCTCTAGCCTTGGTCCATAAGAATAGATTTATCTTCACTCCATGGGCCATCTTTAAGGGTCCCAGAGCTCGCGAAGCGCTTAGCTCAGTGATTCGAGACTCTCCCAATCCTCCCAAGTATCCTGGGCAGTCCAGGAAAAAAGTGCGGCTGAGAACTTGACCCTTGAGCAGAGGCCAGTCGAAAGGAGGCCCCTTTCTCTCAGAGATGCGGTGACGCTCACACGATTTGAGAGGATGTGGGCTTACAGAAGCCTCCGGGCGATCCAGAAGAGGAAAGGAGAGACACGGCGGGAAGTACAATTACAGTTACTGCTACACAACCAGGAAGCGTCTGGGCGCGACGCTACTCATCCACCCATAGTAACCCCCACACCATCAGGGAGAGGGCGCACTTACCTGCAAATCTCCCAACTTTTTTGCCCTTGAGATTCCTTAAACTCTTTACAGTTTTCCTCCACGTGTGAGGTTTGCAGAATTCTAGGTCCCCTGAATCACCGCCTCCGGTGCAGAGCCAATCAGGGAGCATTGCGTCATCACCGGGCGCCAGAAAAAGGCAAAGGTAATCTCAAAGCGAGCCCTGGTAAAAGCGAGGCCGAGGGACCCGGGCCGTTGTCATGGATAACTGAGCTAACTCGTTTCGTCTGCGCAAAGCCTCCTGGGAGTAGTGGTTCGTGGGCCTCTCACGCCTGCCTTCTTTGCAAGCGTAGGAACTACGGCTCCCAGGGAGCCCCGGGAGCAGGCTAAGCAAAGGAGAGATTGTTTCTGCTTCGGCCTGTGTCTGTTCCTGAACCTGGAAAATGCTGCTGGCGCCCCAGGAAAGGTCCTCCTCTAGGAAGAGGACGGGGCTGAATCGCTGGAAACAGTTTACAAGGAAACCGAGTCCCAAGGTGATCCATCCCAATCAGAAGTTCTGGGGGGCAGGGACCGGCCCGAGGCCAGCAGCGGCCCCGCCTCTGCTTCCCTCTTCTCCCAGGGC